CTCAATTGTCATCACAACGTCCCCCTACAAAGTTCACTTAGTAACGCAGCGCCCCCCTACAAGGATTGTTGTTAACACAGACCTATCCTACAAAGCACACTTGATAACGCAGAGCCCATCCTACGAGGCACACTTGATAACACAGAGCCCATCCTGCGAAGCACACTTGATGACGCAGAGCCCATCCTGCGAGGCACACTTGATAACACAGACCTATCCTGCGAGACACAGTTGATAACACAGAGCCTATCCTGCAAAGCACCTTTTTACACTCACAGGGCTCAAGGCAGCGAGGGAGCACATGTCTTACATCGCTAGGCTCAGAGCAGCAACAGCCATGGCCACAGAGACACTCAAGCCTATAAGCAAGAGAGACACCATGACGCATCAGAGTATGATTTTTTTAGGCTGGAAATCTGGCCCCTTTTATATCTTTTCGGCTACGTCTCAACCAAGGAACCAGTTGTGCAGTTGGTAGCGAGAATCACTATCTTGTTATTATCATTAAAGACATTTGAACAATGTTAAAATAGTACTAGGAGACTTTGTGACTTACAGACTCAAGTTTCAACCTAGATTCATTATATTCCACACCTACATTAAATATAATACACCATTTTCATTAACTATTAAAAAGACACTAACACCACAAGAATATGATTCTCACATAACATTAAAATCGCAATCAAATCGCTCAATGCAATAGCAGACTACTTTACCTATTTTGACCATAATCACTAGTCACGGTCGCCATCTCTTTCATCAAGATTAAAGTACTTTAACAGATACCACAATAATAGGCTTATCACTATAACAGACAGTGCTATTCGATTGTATCAGCTATTGGCCATCAGACCTGCCTCCAATTAATCCCTCTACAAACCTCTTTACCTATTTCAACCTCGCGCTACTCAAAAAGTACTTTTCCATATTACTCATTAAATAACTAATGCTACCTCTACTAATACTTCTACTACCTGTCGATACAGACACTATAAACATACCCCCAAATCCATAATATTAGTTTTCTATTTTTAACGGAAATCAAAAAGTCTAGCCCTTATTAAAAACCTAAAGTAAACCCAAATCCACTTCCCAGAACAATAAAGTGAGTTATTTCAACTACCATAAGTCACGAATTAGGTTCTCATAATCGCCACCCCCTTATAAAAATTACACCACTACTATCACATCAATGACACCCTAGATACAAATAGCACCCAACAGACCTATCAAACACCACGCCTAAATTTAAATAGACGCAGATACGGTTCCACGATATAGATCCCAACAATGACTCACAGGACAGTAGATCAAGAAGGTTCTATATATAGCCCAGAGAAGAAATTCAAAGGATTTATAAAGGTCCAGACACAATCCACAACCCCCAACCTAACAGTTGTCAGGGCCCAATACAACAGCGGTCTTTATTATCTAAAAGGTATTACTAGACAGGAGAGTATTTTAAATACCACACAAAGTTTCGGCAACAGAGATCTAATCTACAGTTCAGTTACCCTCACAAGAGAGTGATTAGTCCCTATCAAATAAGAAGCTGCTACTTTCTCTATCTGGCCTATAGAACATTCTAGAAGCTATATCTTCTATCCTACACCTTCCTCACAGAAAGTAGACTCAATTTAAGCCCAACCCATCCTCTCCATCTACTAAATTCAATCATAAATCTGATATCTCTAACAGATAGCTTATAGAAACTATACTAATTATACAAAGACAAGATCATAGATCTAAACAAAGTCTCTAGTTTGTGCACTAGAGGCCAAGAAACCAATTGGTCCTAGCCAGCTCATAAAGTTAATTTCAAGCACTCAGCTTATCTCAACCATTAATATGGCGACTAAGATAATCTACAAACAAAGTCATTTCCTGATACAATGTACTAAGTTTCACTGACATAAGACCTTAAAGAGGGTATCACAAGCTTCCTCTAAACTTTTAGACTATGATACAGATTTAATCATACCGTTAATCTAACATTATAGATAAGCTTTCAATCAAGTTCCTCTAATAACTACATTCTCTTACCGAGCAAGCGTTTCCATAGTTAATTGAAAGTTAGTTGCTAAATTGACTTGGGATTTGGTTATTGATCAACGGTCCCGCTCACTATTCTAAGGTTATTGTGACTTTAACCTTTTCCCTATAACTCGAGTCTACCAGTTTTAGACTGATTTGGAAAACCTTTGATTCTTGGCAAATATTACTAGTGTATAGTCTGAAAATAAACTATATACCTTAGCTTCTACTTTATAGATCACTCTGCCTTTGATCACCCATCTAACTGAATCCATTTGAAGATGCAACCAAAGATATTACCTCCAGCTGACAAGGATTAGATGGGGCTTGAAAATTTACAAGCCCCCTTGCTACCATGTTCTGATCTTATTTAGTTCTGTGAGTCTTTATACACTGCCCGCAGTATTTTCCAGGCCACATGGGAAGACATACTCCTGAACTAGAGACAAGAATGAGGAATGTGCCAGTATAGCTGATTTATAACAGCACTGTAGACAGGTCTGTTTCTAAGTCACACAAAAAAGTGCTCCATCTCACTAGGTTTGACATCTAGGACACCCTTGATGTTGTGATTCCAAGGAAGAGTGATTTCTCTTGTTTTTATAATTACATGAGGGGATATGTACAGCCACGATGGAATTCCTCATGCTGTGGCTCCCTTGTGGAGCTATCACAGGTTTTTTTATTGCAATGTGCACCAGGGCTAGTCATCAATTTAGTTGGCCTCTGTTACTTCGATATCACAACATAAACCATATGACAACAAATTATTATTAGTATAAGCACTCTATTCACTGTTATTCAAGCTTCCTAGCTATATAAACATAATGTACACAATCCCATATTAAAGATGACGATCTAGTTTCTTTAGGCCAACATGGGATTGATATTTGTGTTATATGACCTATGACAGAGGATCAGCTTATAATGGGTAAATAATAACTAGCGATAACAAGAAGTATATTTCGTACCTAGTCTAGAGCTTTCTATTTAACTTGATACATTGCTATCGATCTCACTTGCCTCAGCCATGAAAATTGTTTCAAACCATTAATCGATATTACTTTTGGCAGATAAGTTACATAGGAAAGCCACCAATAAAGCTTTACAGCCGACCTAGTTATAAACAGCTTTTGATTGCTTTTGATTGTCTGAGCGATTAGAAGGTCTAGCATCAATATGATAACATTTTTATAAAATGTGTTACTTTTTCCCTCGTAGAGACTCAACACTTCGGGCCACTTAGTGTTGTTCGTAATATACGTTGGAGTAAGCTTTTTATGATAGCTTCTAATGGGTATCTAGCTAAGAGAGAATATTATTCTCCTCCCATTATGGCCAGCCTGATACGCTACGTGGTGACATGGTGATATATAGGCAAGTGGTAGAAAGGGGAAGAACGTATGAAGAAAACTGCACAAAGTGAACTTGAAGGTGTAGGTTTGTTGAGTTTAAAATATATTCATTCCTCAGTCAACTATAAAAGACCCTACCATTGCAACCAAAAAAGACAACTATTTGATTTAAAATTGTGAGCCATGGCTCAGTCTAGTAAGCCGGCTTCAGACCCTCACCATTCGCCAGCCCAAACATGCCCTCATATTATTATTGCACCCTTGAAAACAAGGTGGCTGCTGATCAGCGACGTTGAAGCGAAAAATGCTGGGACCGTCTCTTTCTTAGCCACTCAACATGATTTCGTCGCTTCGAGGATTTTTCTTTCATTGGTGCAAAGTTCGTTGTCCTTCCTGTCCATCGTTCACATGAGTCATCTCTCAACGTTGGTTTGACAGACAACGTGGAATTCATTGGCAGAATATGAGGATCTTAAGGATGAAACGTTTAAATCCTTTAGTGAGTCATGGCCTAGGATTCATCCTAAGTAAAGCCCTGGTTTAGTAAGGTATGGTTGGGAGATTGCTGACCTTGCGCCTCCGATTGCAAGCAAGCAAGTAGTCAATTCTAACTTCACGATACAAATTTCTATTAAAGCCAGCGCGATCCCTCCTTTACTGTGCACTCAACCAGAATCGGGAGCACCCGCCATCTCCTCGTGGCTGACACGCAAGTATGGGTGGAATTCGAAAACTGTCGCACACTCACCAACGACAAGTCTTTCGAAGCAGATTGCAACGTGCATTGTCCTTGTCGTCTTCTGAGTCTGATGAAACCAGCAGTCCGTCGGCATCTGAGGCAGACGATACAACAGAGGACGACTCTTTGCGGAATGGAAACGACTGCTCTGACGTTCAGGAAAACAGCAACCCAGCCGACGAGCGTGAGGAGGCTCCACGGGAGCGGAGAATGAAGCACAAACATGAAAAGGTCTTGGAAACACCCAAACACACTCAGCCCCACGGAGAAGGCAATGCAGTAGCACTCGAATGTGTGGCGGAGTAAGTATTGACCTCATCACAGAACATGACTTCGTGCTGGCCCGCTAACAACGTCCAGACTAAACAACCGAATGAAGTCAGTTATGGATCACCTTCGAGTGAAAATATGAAGCGCTAATCTAATCCCTCTGTCACAGGTCGGGCGAAGCGGGTACCAATCCGGTGTTGTTTTGAAGAAACACGGTCGTCATCTTGGATGTGGGACTATGTCCATCTAGTCTGTGCAGCCAGGCAGCTTGAACAGCAGTGAACAGAACGTCCATTTGAGATGCAGTTTGTTGACACGCGCTTATATAGAGTAATCAACCTTCCTTGGAATTACAACTGTTGTGATATGAAGCTGGAGCAGACCAGGAAGTAAGCGGCACCGTCGGAATTAACTCCGAAGTGTCTATACTGACGAATGAGATGACAGGAAATCAACTTGACTCATTGTTGAGCATATATGCTCATGTATCCCGGCGAAATAACAAGTCAATTCATACCTCCGAACAACAACACAAGACATCCCTAAAATAGTCTGCTCTTAAAAACCAAGTAGGCAAAAGACTGGTTTCCTCGGCGCGTTCACTTCAATAGCCCCCAAGTACCTAGCAAAGATAATCATATTTCACAAAGATTGCGGAGGCTTACCTGCCGCAGACGTGTTGAGAATCTTGCTGAAGGATGGCTCCAACCGGGCTTCCCTCACCGGGCGTTTCCCCTTCGCTTTTCGTGATTGCGATTTGACATACCAAGGCCGTGTGGGAAAGCGGAGCTTCCCAACGATCTTCGATACCAACGACGTAGCCGGTGTGCGAGATTTCCTGAAACTGACACGCTGGCATGGCGAACCATGATTTTCGCAATGTCCAGTCCGACTGGTTGCGTCCTTCATTGTGAGTAAATGTGTATCTGGTATATGTCTGTCGCTTGACTCAGGATATTCTTTTACGTCATCGTGACTTGGTGTGACCTCTGGCTCTCTCAGGTAGTTGTGGTCTCGTCTTGAGCGGCATGCATTTGGTGTCTTTGGCTAGGAGTATCATGCTTAGCTTCTCACAGTACACCATGGAACTGCAGTTTGCCGGCAACTGATATACATGCACTTACGCATAAAAGTGGAAATTCGACGCTCGGGCGATCCCCATGGCCACTTCCTTCTTGTGACGGGGGAGTTCGCGGAGTAGTTCGCGGAGGGGCGGTCATCGAACCCATAATAACACGTATTTGATGGATTCTGTCAACGAGCAAATCGGCTCAATAGCCCTGGCCTCTTATACCATCATACCACATCGCAGGACAGTTTTGCTTACGCGTGGGGGCCCGTGCATCCCGGTTATGGAATCCACTCTTTCAGGAATGTGGCGGAATATGCATGATACGAAACAAGTTAACAGCATGAAACTACCCTATCAGTTCAGGTAAGGGCTCGTACCAAAAGCCTCCCCCTTTTGAGTTTTGGCTTGATACTATGAATTTAGTTGTTAAGAGTGGCTGCCAGAATTGTTCTAGTGTATCTCCTGTAAACTAGGTATTTGGATTTAATTCCTAAACTCGCACTCTTCTATCCGAGCGCAAGGAATTTTTACATAGACATATCCCGGGTGTCACTGCAGCAACAAATTAATCATGCTGGAATTTCGAGTTTTACTGGCTCGATCTACATCAACAAATTAATGCATTAGGATAACTGAATTAACTCAAAAATCACCTCTAAAGGTCACAAGACGGATTCAATCATTTTTGCGACATCAGTCTATTTGATCCCCCTTGAATTTCGGCCGGGCAACTCCTGCCCATATCCAGCCTAGACCAGCAGGCATTGTCGCACAGTGAAAGTACCAAGGTCAAAGGTCCGCCTTTGACTAACTTTACAGATCTGGCATCAGTAGAATACTGCAGAAAATAGAGAATAGTCAAAAAGAGACATGATAAATTTGATTTCATTCGGCCTTTTTTACATGCAGTTGGGCTGTGTACTGAACTGCGTGTGGGAAGGGCCTATGCCGTATGACCACTTGCCTATCTGTATAGTCCTTCGAACTCTTCCTGAAGAAGTGAACTACATGAACCGATGAGGCTAGACTTGGCGCAAACAGAGTTGGAGTTACCAGGCAGACAGTTCAGGAGACCTCCAGCGAGGAGGTTACCGAGGATACCGTCGGCCTCAGTCTCCTACTTGGAGTTGCAGCAGGAGATGTCACCGGTGGTCCACTATACCTTGGCATCACACACGGCGGCGGAATCAGACAGCTTGGCGCCAATGACAACAGCCCATGGAGAGAACGAAGGCGGCGGCTCCCACAAACTTTGTTTTGAGAAGATAGGGGAAAAAAGGGATATAGTAATAGAAGGTTGATTGTCTTGTATTGATCTTGAAAACACATCCGGAGTTCAACGATAACTTTGTATCAATTTGTCCTGAAGACCCAATGCCATTTAAGGTTCCATTGGAACAGATACTTGTCTGTTTTAGTCAGGGATAAAATGCTAGTTCTTCACATTGGGGTCTGTCTGGAAATTTTTGCTGTTCGTTTTGGCGGCACTGACTTCCGTCTTTGGATCAGTATGGCGCAGAAAAATGCTTCTGGATTACTATGTTGTTGTTTAGTGATATAAATTGATTTATTATTTCAGAAGGATACATGAGCTTATATATACAACAATGAGCTAAGTTGATTTCCAATCAACTTGGTCGTCCATATAGACACCTCGGAGTTAATTCCGACGGTGCGGCTTGCTGCCTGATCTGCACCAGCCTCATATCACAACACAAACAAGTTGGCCAGCAGTGGTATGAAGCAGCCATCCGCAATCAGGAGCGAGTGCCACATGATTGTAGGGTTGCCTCTCCATCCATTGTGTACTGCTCCAATATTGGCTAAAACCGGCAGGCTAATCAGTTCAAGAGATGGAAACGCTTGAAAAATCAACAACTTTGGTTGTTATACTGTCCTGGCAACATTGTGTAAAACAAGATTCGTTGAATGAGATCTCCGCCATGTTTCACTAATATTTCATGATACCACCTCTCCTTCCGTCATTCTTCGAAGTACCATTATGTACAATGTCATGGCTAGCTGGTATCATTTTTCACATACTCTATGGAGCAATTCATTGGCTCACAAGTGGTTCCATTGAGAAAATGAATCAGCGGGAAGCTTCGCCCAGTCATTCGCGAATTTATCCACGGAGGCTGTGTCTACGCGAACCGAACCTCATAGCCATCTTTCAACCGATCCATGGCTGCCTCTGCGTGACAATCTCAGTTGCTACCTAAGAGACTCCACGTTGTCTCAAAGCGTCACAAGAGGTGAAGACCAAGAACTGTCACCATCGAACGCGAAAAAGAGAGCAGCCGAATCCTCAATCCTCCTGCGAAAGCAACATCGACTTTCATTTTCCGCGTCTCAAACACTGGACTACCCACAACTGGTGACACAAGAGATACATCGAGAGAGATTTCCAAGCCTTACAATCATCAGTATGAAAATGATCAACGATACAATTTAATACTTACAAACAATATCTAATCACATCTTGGTCTCCGACACCATTTGTTCCAGGGAGTGGGCGACGAGGTGTCTCGCCACACAATTGCTAGATAGCAGATGCGAAGACATTATGGTGAGGGAATTATCCCGAACAGACACAACCGGAAGACAAGCGTCGGAAGTGTGTTGCTGCGCATGAGGAGCGGCTATATGACTGAGGTGCTCATCGTTCTTCTTATAGCCCTGCTGGTTATGCGTTGCCATGACTGCTGGCCGTTGAAATGGCAGAAAAATGGTCTGTTTATCATACCAACTGTCAAGTAAAAATAGGTTTTGGAATACTGGATCGCTCTACTTTTACAGCAGCTACTTGCCGATTGGTACTCAGAGTTTTTAAGAACCTCGGGTCGTCGAAATATGTTACAGCTGAAATTGATCTTCCTCCTCCATTGTGGGACGAAGGACTTGGTCCCCTTGACAATATCTCAAACACTTTCTCTTGTCCTCTTTCTTTTGATCAACATGTACCGAGGCCCATGTTGGGATGTGCTATTACGTAGAGATGAAGGAAATGAAGGGTTGTGGCTCATCTCCCGAGTCGGTTGTATGGAGCCGGGTTGACCACGAATGAAAGTCTCATGACGGTAGGCGCCTCCGAATCTGTGGAACCCATAGTAATACAGTCGCCGAACAAAAGATCGGTAGCTCTTCGTGGATGGCATGTAAGCAGATGCACAGGAAACTTGCTTTCTAGGGCGATGAAGATAGATCGCCCATCTTCTGACCAGCGCATTGCTTCCTCATTCTTTGGATCATCAAGAATCCTTTTCCGAGTTAGTGACAAAGGTATAAATGTTGTCGTTTCATTTGGTGTTGCACTTGCTCGCTCAGAATCTGTATAAAATCGGACATATATAATACAAACCCATGACTTGTGTTGGCCCCTGACCGTGGACTACCTCGTGCATATCATTCCTCGAAGTGGCGTCTCCGAGTAGACCTGATTCATTCGAGTTTTCGGGTTTTCGATGATTGGTTGGGCAGTTTGAATATTCGCAAGAGCAGACGGTGAATCTCAGTGAACTGCGCGGTCAGTAGCTTGGCCTCGGGCAACGCCAAAGCCTAAAGGTTCCCATTGGTCGGAGTCGGGATACTGGTCCTCAAAAAGTTGAGTAACTACATCGTGATGGTTCTTGATGTTGCTCGACTAGAGAAACCTTTTCCAAGACGGTATACGTCTGATTGAACTTCCTATGCAAATGGAGGACTACCTAGCTGAGGCACCCGCCTCCGTCCATCGTTTTCTGAATATCAATAAGCTCTTGCATTGCCATCTCACTTGACTGAAGCGCTTTTTTGCAATCGTCTTTATCTGGCCAAGGAGAGAGAAACCGTCAAGGCCTACCAGAGCGAAGGAGTTTGAGGGCCTCTTCTGACAAATCGACACTGGATTCTCCAATCGTCAACTGCGACGGGCCCGTAAAGTGGGGCAAAAAGGATGATCGTCGTCCAGGTCAACGGTGGTCCTTCCCTCACGCATGGTATTGCAGTTGAGAAAAGGCTCTCTAGACTCTTACTCAGGCGAATGCTAGTCAAGTCTTCTCCTCGGCCGAAAGCAATGCTGCCACTCAAATTAAGCACCGATAGATAATTCGTCAATTCAGTCGGGAATTCGGGAATGGAGATATGGGCAAGTCGAAAGGGGCTTAGACTTTTATCATGACGATGAGTGATAAAGTCATTCAATACATTATGAGCTTGTTGATGAGTTCCATCGCCTTACTCATCGTTTGAACGAGTCGCGATCATCCCTGTAATCAAAATAATAAGAAAAGAAAGGAGAATCCGCGAAGTCATTAGCGGCCCACCAAAACCGGGCTAAAGTTTTGTCGCCTTGTCGTAATTTATCGGTCCCGAGAGATGCAGTATGCACTAGAAGAGTGCGGCCATTGCACAGTACTTGAGGTGTGTATTTCTGTATATTTATGATAGCAAAACAAAGGGACATTCGAGCTGATTAGCAGTTGATGCCTTGGGAATCAGGGAAACAGTGGGTGTTGAATGAAACAAATAATGCTTGCTGGTGAGATCCTCCCCACTTTAACCGACTCCATTTACTCAGCACGTGACATTTACATCATCATCTGCGCCGAAGGTTTCGTTCCCTGCCAACTTCCTAAACGAAGTGCCTTGTGAGAAACAAGAGAATAATTGGCATCCCACACCCTCGTCGGGGTTTTCTTAGATGTCACCATACGCAAGACACCATGGCATTTTCGCTCCGCATCGGCGCACCCTTGCGACACGGTGTCCAAAACTATTGTGATATGAGGCTGATGCAGATTAGGAAGCGAGCCGCGCCATCGAATTAGCCCCGACATGTCTATAAAGACAACGAAGTTGATTTATGTATAGCCTCATATTTCCCTCTAAAAGAGTTAACTACCGTTCATACCTCTGAACAACAATAGTTTACAATCAGCCGACTTGAAATCTCCGCCCCCATATTCAACTACTTTCGTAATGCTAAATTATCCAGCGCTATTACCGTCAGTGTCAGAACCTTGTCCTGCATAATCTGTCGAAGAAGGTCAAACTATATGCGTCAACTCAATCTTGGAGTGGCCTAGGAGACCATAGTACGGTTATCAATCCCTCTCCTCAAGCTGAGCCTTGATTGATTTGACCAGTACTTGTACTACTTCTTCGTGCCCTTCATCCATTGCTAGCATAAGAGCTGTATACCCGTCATTGTCTTTTGTCTCTATTTCCAAGTCAATCCTCTCGACCAGCGCTTGGACAACCGCGCTGTGACCTCTTCGCGCCGCCCATGCCAGAGGAGCATATCCGTCATTGTCTTTCGAGTTGACATCCACGTCTAGCTGGCTAAGAAGTCGACGAACTATGCTCTCAAAACCCATCGCCGCGGCCCGAGAAAGGGATATACAGCCCTCCTTATCAATCGAGTCGGCTTTCACGTCGTGGCGCTGGAGTAGACTGACCACCACTCCTTTATGTCCTCGTTCAGCTGCCAATGCTAACGATATGACATTGAAGGCGTTTCTCGGATCGGCTTGGATCTTCCCCCGCTCAAGCAAGGCGTTTATCACGGTTTCGTGCCCTTCCTCAGCGGCGAGGGCTAATGGCGTATTTCCATAATTGTCTTTAGAGTTCACATCCACCCCGCTATCTTGAAGAAGCAGGTCCACAATACCATTGTGCCCCCATATCGCTGCTTGGGCAAGAGGAGTTCTTCCATAAAAGTTCTTTGAATCCACCTCCACGCCATAATAGCTCAAAAGTTACTTTGCCAGTAGAAGATTACCGTGCTTTGCTGCCGATGCCAAAGATGTGTTGCCATGGTCGTCTGTTACATTGATATCCAGACCAGATTCTGCGACAATGCCAGCCGAAACCAGCTCCATGGATGTCACGGTATCACAAACCCAAGATGTAGGGTCTTAGGTTGAAACGATCCCATCCAGGAATCCAGAATGGGAAGCTTCGGGCTATTTATCCAGCGAGAAGAATTTTGCCCACGGCCCACAAAATTCGCCAATCTGGCATTATCTACGTTCCATGGTACCGAAGAGCCGCTAATGCAATGAGGCTGGCGGCGCAAGCGCTAACAGTTGATCCTTTCGCGCCTAGCAGCTTTGAGCGCAGGAGATCCCGCTCAGGCCCCCTCGAGTCTGCATTAGCCCAAATTTGGCGCCCAAGTCACAAACGCAAGTCAAGTAGTGCGTCACGTTTTAGAAAAATGCACTACTCAAATGCACTAGCCAGATGCACTAGTTCTAAAGGCTCCTATTTATTTTTATCTCTCGTAAGATAGCTCCCGCTTCTTTTACCTTGTTGGCCTCAAATAAAAAGGGGGTTAAAGGGGGTGCTGTGCGTACGTGTCGGAGGGTCGCACCGAACCGAGCTGACTCACAGATTGACTCGGACCTCCCAAGCGAACCACGCTATTTGCGTGGAGACTAAGCAGCCTGTTGCATTAGATCCTAGTATGCAAGGTCTATGTGCCAGAAAGGATCGCTCTCATTTTTATTTTCCTCATTATTTCTGAGTTGTTTCCCTTCAGCGTTATATAATCCTGCTATACGAGCGAACAACAACCAGGCGAAGATAATTTTGTACGATTTCATTCTATCACTGAGGTAGAGCAACCGTTTGTATCTTTTTCCATCAATTCCTTTTTGTGGCCAATGAGTAAATGGTTACCCAAAAATTGCTACGGTTCACGAGGCTAAAACCGCGAGACTGGCCTCTAGCCTACAAAGAACAACTCTGGCGCCTAGCTGGTGGTCAATAATGGATTGTGGTTTCCAATATCATAAAAGCTTTGATTCGAAACACCTATCATGACTTGCAGCCTCAAGTGCCGCCACTCCATGCATGAAACCAGAAGATAAGGCGTCTACTGATCCATTTTAGAAAACTCCCAGATCGACTCTACCATTATGGATGACCTAGAATACATATCACATTCAAGGCATATAAATACTCACCTGGACACCTCCAATCAGAATGATATTGCAACCCATCTGTCTTTCACAAACATCTCAAAACCTTATTCAATCAGCAAATATGAAAGCCTTCACACCAATCTTCATGTTAATGGCATTCGCTACCTCCCAGGCAATTGTTGCACCTGCAGGTAAGCCCCCGTCTCACTTTCAATACCTCCCGTTACTAAGGCTAATTTGATAAATTACAGCCGAAACTGCTGACCTAGAGACGCGCGCCGACTACTGCGTTAATATCAGTGTATGCCACGGCTACAATTACGAGGGTGGCTGCTATAACGAATGCAATAGACCCGGTCAGGGTTACGGTATCAAAAAAGAATATCGGAAAAATGCCGGCTCGTTCAAAATCGGGACCAAGGGTTATAACTGCCAGATTGGATCGTGAGTTGCAACATAGGTCTCCTAAAAATCGGAGCTAATATATGTCAAGATCCAATCAGGGCACGGACCCAGTGGACTACCCTGGGATCAAGAGATTCAAGGATGGATGGGTCAATAACATTGAAGGATATCAGTGCAACAAAGTCAAATGACAGGTACATCCCAGGAACTAGGAGGTTGCGTCAACCGGCGAGGAAATGCTATTGATAGATGAGTTAACGAGGGAAGTCGCAATTGAGTTTACTACTGGTGATATGTTGTGATCTCCGGCTGCTAGTGTGAGGCCTATACTTCTATATATTTCTGATAATTAGAGAATATCATGATTGCCCGTGGAAAGCTAGCATGTCCGCCGGACCACGTTCTAGACAGATGCCCTTCGCCTCGCGACCTGAAGCATACGTTGCACGCACGGCCGACTGCAACTTGCTAGCGCAACACGGTCGCTGCTACAGGTGTGGCGAACACGGGCATCGCATTCACGAATGTACAAGCAGAAGATGAAAGAGATGCCACGGTTCGCCGGTCATCGGTCGCTTAGAGTGCACAATGCAATAATTAAATCCGACCACGATGAAAGTACAGTTGTCAAGGAAAATGAAGTGCCCTAGGTCAAAGTCGCCATCTAGGGCGGAAGAAATTCGAAGTCATGTCGATCAAAATCTCTGCTGCTTCGGTGCGACCGAAGAGGGTCCGAATGGACGGTCACCAGCTCGTCTTGTCATACACTCTCCACAGAGGCATCACGGGCAGAAGCTGTTGTCGACAGTGGAGCAAATGGCATAGCTTTCATCGACCATTCTTTTGCGCGTAAAGATGACTTGAAGTAGTGGACAGAAGATAATCGGTCGCTGGACGGATCACGCATTCGACACGAGTACCGGTAAATATACAGGGGCATAAAGAAACGCTACCCTGCTTTGTGACCAGGTTGAACCAGCAACCGACCGTGTTCGGTATCCCTTGGCTCAAGCTCCACGATGCAACAATTGCATGGAACAAGGACACGTTGGCTTTTGACTCCGAATACTGTCACCAGACCTGCGGAATTATGAAACGAACTGAGATTCATGGGGTTACCAAAGAAAGCCAAGCCGAAGAAGGAGAGGGGATGCCAAAAAGGACGTGATCGACATTCGTATAATAGGAGCTTCGCCGTTCCTTTACTCGACAGATAAAGAGAGTAAAAAGCCCAATGACTTCACCATCTTTGCGGACTCAATAGCTGATATCCAGAAGGCGTTGGCCCCAGATGAGAACGGATCCCAAAGTGAAGCTTCCACCGGAATACCAGGCATTTTTAGTTGTCTTTTCTCAGACAGGAGCTGATAAACTTCCATCACACTGCCTCCATGACCATGGGATATAGATGAAGCAAAATTCCGAGACGCCCTTCGGCCCGTTTTACGACATGTCCGAAGATGAACTACTCGTTTTACGTGAATACTTGGAGGACAATCTTGGCAAAGGATTCATTCGAGCATCACGGTCACCGGCCGCATCGCCCTGGCTATTCGTTCTAAACCAAGGGACGGTCTACGATTCTGTCTGGACTACCGAGCACTCAAGGCACTAAGGATAAATCGTCGATGGCGGGCCAGAGTGGACGACTGTAATGTATATAAGCGAACGCGTCTAAGTCATCTGTCAACCCCTCTTACATCTGAGAATGCTTTTTTGCAATCAACTTGATCACACAAATGCGGCTTTTCTCCAGTATGAGCCCGCGAGTGTACGGTCAAGGCACTGCGTTGGATGAAGCTCTTGTTGCAACCCTTCACTGAACAGTGATAGAGCCGCTCATTAGTATGTATACTGTAATGACGGCTAAGATCCGACTTGCGACCGAGAATCTATCGGAGCTTCTCATTAGGGAAGAGCTCTTTCCAAAAAAAATTGAATAGAACAATAATAATCTTGCCACAATGTTCCCTAGAAGCCACCTACGTAGAAGCCTCCTCTTGGGAGTGCATTGAAGGGCGTCGTCGGAAGGCAGTAATTACGGTCAGTTGTGGCCTAAACGGGCCATGTACAGCATGCTATTTGTGAATGGGGCAATACTTAGCCACATTACCATTCTCTCTAGATATCAAGGGGAAATTTGTGTCCTGCGTTTAATTTCATAAGATATGAAGAATTGAGATCGGTTGAGCAGGCTCGGAAAAGAATGGTCCTAACTTCGACTCGTTTATTGTTCAAGCTCATGAAGTGAACATCTATGCCAAATCGATGGTAGAAACACAATCAAAGATATGGCCTCCGTATTGGCATGCAAGGCGATTGCGGGCTGCATTTCGACCTCACAAGATCGCATAGGCGGTCGGGGTTTGGACGGGATTTGAAGCAACCGAAATGATCTTACGCCCCGCCCCACCTTGTGCTGAATGCATTTGGCTGCAAAGACCTCTCAATGGGGCAAGCTCATACTCCTTGCGTGCTGTGTCTTTTATTGATTTCCAATATTTCAGCATTTCTACAAAAGCCAAGATGAAGACCCGACATCGATTTCATCCCTGATACAATTAGGCGGGCTTATTTGGTTGCTGTCTACTTGCGCCCCATGTTAGTTGCCCCTTACAGATTGGCCTTATCTTACATAGCCTTCCCTACGGTGGACATGCCAAGAACGAAAACGCAACATACAATGTCATGGCCTAGTAGTGGGCAAGATTATTCTTCTGGTGATGATACAATTATTGGATTCACACGAGGGCCCCCTGCCATTATGCAGCATGGTATCACTTTTTCAGTTTCTGTGATGGTGAAGTTTGGAGAGTCCAGTGGACTATCATTGGTGCCAACGCAAGCATTTGCAGTCAATGTTTCTCTCGTCGACGAGTACGGTACACGAACGAGTGGGGTACTACAAGGCAATTTGACATCAAATATACAATTCCATCCCACTCAAGGTGCGCATGGCTTTGCTGTATTTGGGGGCCTCTCCATTTGTCAGACAGGATTATGGCGACTCCGAGTTTTGCTGGGTGCCTTCTCTTGCGCCGAAATGGCTATCGAGGCACGTGTCGATTCAATCGTGTTTCACGTCGGTAAGTAATAAACAAACTTTCCCTATAATGACGGGGGTCTATTACTTATTTGTATAACAGCACCTTGAGAAAATAACCATTGCACGATTTCTATCAGATGGTAGAAACGCATGATGTGTTATGATGGTTTTGCCGTTATTTATTTCAGAAACTGGAGTCAAGGAGCGTCAAGTGTGTTACACGTATAAGAAGGAATGATTGATGTGAAGATCCAACGTGCCGTTAATCATGCCAGGGCACAAGCATTGGCCAGTGATCCAACACCTGAGATCTTTGCTCCTAATAAGCTCCTAACCCTAGAGTTAGTCGAAATTGATTCTCGCTCATCCCATGCATCGAGTGGTTAGACAGTTGTGGCACTAAACTGGAAAGTGCATTAATAGTGGCCTACCATTACTGTAAATATCACAGAATAGTGAGTTGATTATTTGGCCAACGCAGATAACGATAGCCCACTACGATTTGCGAAACATCGTGTTCCAATACTCAAGGTGTTTGGATATGTCTTGTCTCAAAGCATTTTTGTGGATTGAAAACCCCAAGGCGACACTGCTTTGGATGTCTTGCCCGGATTAAGAAACGCAAATAACGAACTTTATAGAGCTAGTTTATATTATAAGATGAATTTAAAGAAGGCTCAGAATTACTACTAAAGGAAGAAGAAAATACATAACATTACTACAATGACTGATAATCACCACGTCGGGGTGTCCCTTTGGTTTTTTTTTGTGGGCAGTAGGGACAAAAGATGAGCGGCGAAAACACCAACGTCTTTGGGATTGACAATTCCTAGGGGCGAGTCCTCAGACGCCGCAAACCTAAGGGTATTCTGCTTTCCGGTTTTGCGGTGGTTTCTGATTAGCCCCGCCGCGTTGGAAAGATAGAAGTTTGTGAAGACATTAGGCTGGGGGAAGGTCCACTGCAGAGCGGCGAATTCTGCCATTGAAAGATAAGAATGACCGATATCTGAGACTATGATTAAAACGGGAGAATAACTCTAACACATATCTAATCTCTATAGCTAAGGAGTCAGTCGTTCATCGTAGACGTGGTATCAAATACAAGTACTGTTGGCGGACATCTAACCCAAGAATAAGAATCTCACGGCCAACCACCTCAAACGTCAAACTACAACTTGGGTTCACGCAATGGTAGCTCGTACTCCACATCCAAGTAATATCGTCAAGCGCTCAGATTGACATGCACCTTTTTGCAGGTCCAGTCAATGGCAAAAAAGGTCTCACGGCCATTCCGGAAGGCGATTATCGCGCCAGCAGTGGTAATTACTCCCAAAAATGATACAAACAAAAGGTGCAATTGCAACACGTTCAGCGTATCCTATATCATCCGCCTAACTCTTGGTCTTCAGTTCTTGAAGGGATCTTTTTCCCATCAAATATTGGACCACCGTCAACACGCCAATTATGAGGAATCTCAGAATGGCCCCAGGCTCCAAATTATGAAAGCCACATACATCGCAGCCTTAGGGTCGGTGATATCCATAATCTCGTTAAAGAAGGCAAAATACGAAGCATAGGTGCCATCTGACCAAAGTTGAGGTGCACTCGAGACGATTAATTTGCATGTAAGGTCGTTTATTGAGGCCGAAAGGGCAGCTCGACTGCACCAACAAAATCGACTGTACATGGCCGATAATTTTCGCTGTATCTGGCGTTGGAATACATGGCCAACCAATTTTGAAATGATAAGATCTCGAATTGAGGGAAACAATGTTTCAACATCTCACCAGCTCCACTTTACCAGCCTGCTTGAGCCACATGGCTTATACTACCCTTACTGCGCCTTGTTGCGATCTGGTCAATTGTATATCACGCTTCATCAGTACTGTTTAATCTGTGAGGCTTTATGCCGGAAAAGGCTAAAAAATTGATTTATTGCGGTTTTTGATTTTGTCTCTTCCAAAACTTCGAAAGGCTGAGCCCTCAAAGTAACGCCATCATAAAGGAGACTCCGGGCGCTTGAGAAGTTTCCAATTGCAGGCGCTGAACAAGATCTTCAGTTTTGAATTGATAAGGGGCCTTAGAGGAAGAGTGATGGGGCCGAGTGTTAAACCGAGGACTTTCTGGTCTAGCAGTAATCCATCAATTATCAAATGATGAACAATCGTAGTTCAAAGGATTAATCCGCTTTTCTAGTGTTTTTGAGGGAGGGAGCACAATAGAATATATACATACAATGCGACTATTTTCTATCTATCTTAATCAATCAAACCTGCTATTTCTTTACTCATAATCTAATCTTTACTAAATACCATAAATATCCTATCCGTGTTATTCTCAATTGCCATATCAAAGTAGACATAGGATAGATATCTTCTGGAATTTACACGTTAATTTAAATCCAGACCTATCTACTTATAAGGAAAATTATTACTTATAAAGGAATTTTTAGCTGTCTATAATAGTTACCCGTGTTTTAAGCTCCGCTTAACTTCTCATAGGCTACACGTTCCTAGTATTATATCCGACCCTAGGATCTATATAATTAATGTTAGATATGTTTGTAAGAATTCTATATATACATCTAGAGACTTTCAATATAATAAAAGCTATTGTCTACCCTAAACACAAGATATCATATAAGAAAGCAATAGAATAGTGAAGTTCTAGACCCATATAGACAGCGTAAGCTCGATAAATCATTTCTCTAGATATTTTGTAAACTTCAAAACAATCCTACCCAGCAACCCTACATATTAGTTCTCGAAGTTACAGTACCTTTAGAAAGCTTCATCAAGATCCTAAAGCTATTTAAGGGTTTCAAAGATCCATATGAGATCTTTTTGAGATAGTAGCGCCGATCTTGGTTCAATACTATGGTGCATAGAACAATTAAGAATACAATCTCTGTCCTCCATTCTATAGTATAGCTATAATTGCTATATTAATAGATAGCATATCTTGATCGCCTATCTTATTATCACTTTGTAAGTATTCGATAGCTATTCTTTAATTGATATTATATCTTGTCCCTATTTATTCTCACCTCTATCTTAGGTTTAAGATATAAGTTATATAACTTTTATAGAAATACACGTTATTTTCGTTTTACTGATTAGATACTAATGATCAAGAATACTTAGGATATTTCTACAAATAATATATCTAAATACAATAATGTAGATATAAAAAGGGCTATATTATTATCTAATCTATTACTAGCTTCTTATTTCTACCCTAAAGCAGTCTTTATCATAACTACCTAGACAATTTCCCCTTATCTCGCTTAAAATATCATATCCGTCAACAATATATCATCTCAAAAGTTCTATGGACATATACCGTCCTAAGTGCCCTTTAAGTATTAAGTACAACCTGTGCTATATATCCTTAATATCTATATCAGAAAAAGACAGACTAGAAGTAGACAATCTGCAGATACAATATAACTATATGCTCGTCTCATGCCCTTACCAGGCCCCAAGTATACTCACCTAGGCCATCATACAGGGCAAGAGCTGCTTCGTCCAATGCCTAATAAGGCGGTTCCCTGTATACATCAACCGTCCAGACTGGAACAACCAACGACCAATCATGGTGGCTATAGAATATCGACAGCACAAGATCTTGCAATCACTCCTCTACAATCCACATACCAACGTAAACGTCGCAGACATGACCCAGAAAAAAATAAGATAAGTCCTAACGAGCCAACCAACGTGAAGCTATACATCGGGATTCTGAGTGGTCAAATTATTGGTGACAGATCGCGCCCTCTAGATCCGACACCCGTGTTCCATTCATGTCCTGTCCCAGCAAAGGGCCTGACTATTCCCAGGCTTTCTGAGCCTAGACTGCAAGCCGTTATATGGCATAATTACGTGGGTGATCGTCCATCTGAGGTCTCAGGCGGGACCCACTGACCTGAGTTCTAACTGTCGACCGTGTGGCGCGCCATGTCGGCGGCCTTACCGTCATCCTTAAATCTAATTCGTTTCCCGTAACATTGAAAACTCTTTCCCCCGGATAATACCCTTCCGCGCTCGTCGGTCAATCCACCTTGCTGGACAGGGTGATTAATAATAACCGTGGATAAGTTACAAAGCAGAACATCCGCGCTTTCCCCCGGATAATGCCCTTCCGCGCTCGTCGGTCGACCGCAATCCACCTTGCTGGACAGGGTGATTAATAATAACCGTGGATAAGTTACAAAGCAGAACATCCGCGCTTTCCCCGGATAATGCCCTTCCGCGCTCGTCGGTCGACCGCAATCCACCTTGCTGGACAGGGTGATTAATAATAACCGTGGATAAGTTACAAAGCAGAACATCCGCGCTTTCCCCCGGATAATGCCCTTCCGCGCTCGTCGGTCGACCGCAATCCACCTTGCTGGACAGGGTGATTAATAATAACCGTGGATAAGTTACAAAGCAGAACAGATGGGGTAATAGTTATGTAGTCATGACACAGTTTACAAAGCAAAACTGACACCTTGAGTAATTACCGAGGGAGTTGATGATCAACCATTTCTGGAAGGCCCCACTCGATGATATATGTATTTATATTTGTTCCGGGTTCCCTGTTTCGTCCATTCAGTCTTCCATCTTCATAATTTTCGTTCACCTCAGTCAACCCTCTTGGCTTTGCTTACAAGGCATCGCTATCTTTTATCCGAACATTCCACCGCCTTCACACCGCAACCCCTGGTCAAAATGAGCGTCAGCGAGAGCCGCAACGTCGCCATTGTGGGAGTTGGCTCGTCTATGTCCAGATCCCTCGCTATCTGGCTAGCGAGCCTAGGGTGGAATATTGCCCTCGTGTCACGTTCCGAGAAGAGCCTGTCGGCCATCGCTGATGAGGTGAGACAGGCCCAGAAGGGCAAGAACGGCAAGGTCATTTACCGGACCGCCGACGCTAGCGAGCCTGCAGCTTTGAAGGCTACACTTGACTGGTGTGTCCAAAAACTTGGTGGCAAGTTGGACGTTCTGAGCTACAATGCCGCCCGAGTCGCACCCTCTGATATCACCGAGATTTCCCCCGAGGAGTTGGAGCAAGACTTTAAGGTCGCAGCCGTGGGTACTCTGGTCGCTGGTCAGTGGTTTGCCGCCGGCAACGCCAGAGTCGATCGGATCGCAGAGGGTGAATATCCGCTTTTCCTCGTAACAGGTGGAAACCTGGACAAAGAACCGGAACCTTTCGTGGCCTCGCTATCCACTGCCAAAGCGGCTTCTCAAACACTCAGCCGCTTGTTTGCGAAGGTCCTACCCGAGAAGGCCAACATTTTGGTCGGTATGCCTCTAATTGCAGGAGCACTTATCAATCCTATGACTGGTGAATATAACGAGCAATTCCACCCGGAAAATATCATTCCTAAAGCTTTCAAGCCGTTCTTTGAGGATCGTGAGAATCGCCGTGATGGAAAGGCGGGTTGGACTGTGGAGAGGCTGTACTAGATCCGAGCCATTGTATAATATCTTTGGGAAGTGACGATACAGTACTCTGTCTAGCAAGGCGGGTTGCTGACGAAGAGAGCGGAAGGGTATTATCCGGTGGAAAGAGTGACGGACTGAGGTTACTAGTAAGTATGTCATGTGGCGGGGACGAAAAGGGTGCCAATTATTTGCCCTGAGCTTGATCCCGCTTCCCCACTAAGGGGGCGAATTTAAAGCACAGGAAAGAGCAGAAAGCGCCCTGTATTAGAAATTTCTGAATAAGTTCATGACCTTTCTAGTTTCTTTAACTCCTACCAGCGCAGATGAATAGTAAAACCCCAAACTGACTGAACAATCAGACCACCAAGCAAGCGCTATATTCAATCTCTACTTTCTCGCATTGAAAGCCTCGAACGGCGGCTAGCAGACTATGAAGGGCGGAAAGAAAGGGCTCGGCTCGGGTCGGCGTCATCTCAGGGTACTACATTGGCTAACCAGCGGGACCACAACTTGGACAACAATCCAGCTACTCTAGATTCGGTCCAACAGCTAGTGGACCTTTGTGGTGGACTAAGCTTGGGTGAGGGGCAGGAACTGCGTTTCTTCGACTCCCGCAGCAACCTGGCTATGGTTGCAGAGCAACTGGATAAAAGGTGTCATGATCATCTGCTGAAGTTTTCTGCAGACCGAAGTCAGCGACCAGGGATCGGCGAGGTCGAAGTGGATCGATCAACCCAAGAGGTGCTGTTGAGCGTGTTCTGGAAATGGCAGAATTCATGGCAATATCTAGTCCACGAAAGTGCCTAGCGTCGGAGCTATGAAGTGCAAGACAATAATTACTGCACGCCTGTCTTACTATACGCTATACTGGCGGTGGCTGCTAGTTACTCCCATGAGCCAGATAGTTCGGATATTTACGATCCGAGAACTGCTAGTATAGGCTTCGCTTTAAAAACAAAGCAACTGATTTTCGAAGAGATTAAAGCGCCTCGACTTTCAACGATGGTAGCCACTGCGTTGATATCAGTGACTGAATTGTCATTAGATATTGAACCCGCAAGATGGATGTATATTAGTAGGCCACCCTCTCTTAAAATCGATTTTCCTTCTGCTAACGAGATAGAGGAATTGCTGTGAGGATGGCCTATACCTTGGGCTTTCACACCAACCCTAGTCAATGGGTCGAATCTAGACGCCTCATAGCAGAAGATGCAGAAATCCGATCAATTGCTTGGTGGGGTTATTATATAAGCGAAAAGTGTGTTAAAGGTTCTTTGAAGCCACAATTAAACTGTCATTTCGGCTAGACGTGCAACCGAAGGCAAGAAAAAAGACAGCAATTAATTGACGGTCAATTAGCTGATATATCAAATGAATTACAAAACGTGATGCTGCAGCACAGCAGCATTGATACCTTTGTTCGGCACTATAGTGTCGGCATCCACGTCGATGCTCAGGCAATTGTCCGGGGCATGCCCACTCAGAAGCAGCTCATGCGTTTTGCCTGCTCGATGAGTCGATCCATTGATCCGCGCAGGCCATAAAGGCTAGAAGATTCGAGTTCTGTAAATCAAATTCCGCGTGTGGTTATTCTGGAAGAGTTGAAGCAGGCACGAGAGCAGGCTCGAGACGTAAAAAAGGGGCTTTTGAAAATGCCCAGTTCGCCCTACAACGAGAGTTCGGTGATAATTCTCTGCAGAAAAGTTCGGTATCTTGCCTCTTACGGAAGCTTTACAAAAGCTGGGAATCCCAGAAGAAGAATGTGGACAAGTTACGCAAGAAATTTGAACGAGCAGAGGAGCGGTACAATCTTTCTGTGCTGGACTTGCGAAACGAAAAGGGACGACAAAGAAACCGCTTGATCCGTGAGAATCTGGAGCGGTACAAGAATGAGCAACCAGTGATCGACAGCGAGCGGCAGCTTTCTGGAAAGGTATTCTATAACAAAGTAAACACAAGTCTCTGTCTGGAAACAGACATGCAATTCAAGCAAGAATAAGTGACGCTTCTTGTTAGCAATCAGTAAAACACACTTCTTAGACTTGGTGCTCTCCACCATATCGTTCTCGATAATAAACTCCTTCTTCAACACCTTGATAGCAAACAACTTCCAGATGCTCTTAGTCTCAGCTAGCATAACCTTTCCGAAGTTACCCTTACCGAGCACAACAAAAAAGTTGAAGTGATCCAATCCAATACGGATCTAGAGCTTGACAACCGCCTATTTGATGGAGACGACGACCAGTTGTGGTTGCATTGGCTGCATCTATTGCTGGGGCGGAGGCATGCCGTAGTAAGCAGGCAGTCCAACTTGCTGCTGGGGCATTGCCTAACGCGGCGCAGGTTTCTGGAAATTAGCATAGACAGATGGGTCTAGTGAGTATAAGAAGAAGGAGGCTGTTTAGCCTGCACAGGAGGACAGGTCGTTTCCGCTAAATCGCGAATTTTAGTACCAGGAAAAACGGCATCGTGGAGGACACATACTTGGTGTCTGCTGTGTAGGACTACACAAGCCAGTTGCTGCTGCAGCGGCCAAGGTCGCGGGCCCGGAAGATGACTTCGGGAGCAATGGGTGGCGAGCAGCTTGTTGAGAAGTCGTTGGTGACTGTGGAGTCATGAAGGAGTTAGTCGCAGCGCTTACCGCTTTGCGGAGGCTTGTCTGGGAAGAGTCCCATAGGAACCTTCTTTGGATTTCTGGGGGTAGGAAAGTACGGCATTATCTTGAGGAGGTTGCAGCGGACCGCTTTTGGGATTAGGGATTAGGGATTAGGGATTAGGGATTAGGGATTGGGAT